AACAACCCTGATTATTCAATTTACACATAATGCGTATTGCCATCCTGGTCTCAAAACATTACATCATTTACTGTTACAGCAGTACTGGATTTTATCTGCAAGAAAGGCTATTCAAAAAACCCTTTCTGACTGCTTTCGTTGCTTTAGGGTACGCCCTAAGTTTTATTCGCCACCATTAATGGGTGATCTACCTTCACACAGAATTTCACATCTAAAACCATTTTCCCACGTTGAAATAGATTTTTGCGGACCTTTCTTTATCACACTTTATAAAATGCGTATGGCGCAAAGGTTTTTAAATCGTATGTCTGTGTGTTCGTCTGTACAACTACTAAAGCAATTCATCTTGAACTTACTCAGGAGCTATCTACAGACAGTTTTGTAGCAGCTTTTCGACGCTTTGTAGCGAGAAGAGGTAATGTAGTTGCGTGCTATACCGACAACGGAACTAATTTCGTTGGAGCTAATAACCTACTTTCCGAGTATGCGCAGCAAGCATGCGAAAAACTCACTGTGCGATGGCATTTCAGCCCTTTTTCAGGACCCCATTTTAATGGGTTACCTGAGGCAGGGGTAAAAATGGTGAAAACCCACTTATTACGTGTCATAGGCGATCAACGCCTAACTTACGAAGAATTTTCAACCCTATTGTGCCAAATAGAGAGCTCACTTAATTCTCGCCCGTTGTGCGCCCAAAGTACTGATCCGAACGATCTCATTCCCCTTACTCCGGGAAATTTTTTGACTCTGGAACCTCTGAATTCGGTAGTACCAGAGGTTGATATTTCCAAAATTAATGTTAATAGGTTATCGCGATGGCAACTCATTATAGCCGTTTGCATAACGACTTTTGGAAACGTCATTTCAAAGAGTATGTCAATACGTTACAGCAACGGCAAAAGTGGTGTGACCTAAAGTTAAATTAAACGATTTAGTTCTCATTAGTAAAGATAATCTTCCACCACTGAAATGGCCGTTGGGTAGAATTGTTGAACTGCAGCCTGGAGACGACAACCAAGTACGTGTTGCTACGGTCAAAACGGTAATTGGGCAATATAAAAGGCCAGTTATCAAACTGTGCCCTCTCCCTTCGAGTGATTGAATAAATTTAATCACTATTTACAAAAATTAAATTTAGAAATGTATATACCTAGTTATTTTTTTTCTCTTTTCTTTTTTGGGTATGTTTACGAAAGTTATATTTGGTAACAGATACTATTACTAGTATTTTGGTATAGTATGTTCAATTTTCATTATTTTTTATTTTATTTTTAGTTTTCTTTCTTTTTCTATTTTTTACGTTATGCTAGTTAAAACACATGTGTTTTGGCCGGCGGCAAATGTTAACGCAACATTATTTATAAATTTGGTTTCTTCTCATTAAAGAATAACTTAAATGTCAATTTCGAGTAAAACACACAGGAGTATATTTTCTACGACCCTGCGCCGATCGAGGCAGATAGCTGTTGAAGATTTGGATTTACACACTAGATCAATGGTACTTGATATGCACGTTGCATTTTTACCGGTTCCGTGTTTTACGCTCAAAAAGTCTATGTCTTGTGCCTTAAGTCGATGGTGATACGTTGGTGGTTGGTTGTGGAGAACCGTTATCCAGGGGATCCCCGTATATACGCACAGCTTATAAGAAAACCCAGGTGAGTGGTTATAACTTTTGTGTGTTTCGACAACCCTATGGTATCATTATCATTTCTATTTCTATTTGTTTGCGCGATTTTCCAGACGCAGTCCAGTTTACTAAATTTCAAATACTATTGCGTAAACAGGGTCTATTCGCAAAAGAGAGAAACAAACTATTGAGGTTTACTAAATTATATGTTATTGTACTTAAAACCAAAAATATAAATAAGCAACTATCTTTCTATTCTGACAGCCACTATTTTTCCCAACTTAAATTATTACACATCCGTTCAAATCCAGGAAATATCCATACAGAAAAAAATAACGCCCTACTTCTTGTATTCTTAATAACTTATAAATTTAAACATTACAACACTTCCGATTCACATTTCTATTAAAACTGCCCTCCACCTATATCTATAAATTCTTAAAACTCCTAAGTCATTTACTGACAGCTTATGCAAAATAATTATTTAAGTCATAATCCTACTCACTGGATTAAGTATATATGTATTATCAACTATAGTTTTATATAAACCTTACAATAATTTCTAAATGCAAAAAAAAAAACTAATTCAAAATTTCAGCACATAAGGTCAACAACTTCATGAACAACAAATTTCTTTTCAAAACTTCCCATTTCATTTAATGGTTTATTTAATCAGAACAATTACTATTTTCGGATTCCTAGCCAATAAACACAATTATTTAATTAATAATTCCAACACAAAATCGTATATTGCTAAGAGCATTATAATTTTCCCTTCTTAATTCTTTGCAAAATTAAATTAAAATGTCATTATCCTGGAAGGCAATTAAAGTTATGCAATAAAGTTTTTACAGTCAATTCACTCAAGTTTTTATGCATTAAAGTTCCAAAGTTAATTCACTTCTTATCATTCCGAATCATTTATAAAGTAAAAACAAACAATAATAGTTTTTGAATTGTCACTCGATAAAATATTCAATTAATTTATTCAAAATATAGCTAAAGCACGCACATAACAACGGAAAGATTTACTACTTTCTTCTTCGAGATATTCAGTTAATTTTCGCCTTTTCCGAGGCTTTTTATACTGAGGCAATTCGCCACTTCTGAACAGGTACTATTGATTTGTTGAGGCTAGTCTCGACAATTAAGATTGATCTTTTTCTTTAACGGCTGTCCCCTTTTATATTATTTTTATGCACCCACTTAAATTGACAATATGAGCGGTCGTGACGATCTGTAATTCAGTTCTATTGGTCGACCACTCGACCTAGATATTATTCCAAAAACTAATTTCATCATTTTAGAGGATGATGTTTGAAATTTTTGTCATTTTGGGTCCAATTTAATTAGGTGCTTAACCTTGTAATTGATCTCTTTCGGGTTTTTGTTAACGAGTTCAAATGTTGACATGTGCTTGGTCACTGATGGCTTGTTTAAAATTTGAACGTACCGATATAAATATTTTAATTAGTTTGGGTCAATGCTAATTTGCTTCATCATCTTTCAATTTATAGATACTGATTTGAAATACAGGAAATTCAGTTTTTGATTATTTGATTACATTTAATTTTTACAGTGAAGACATTGTAAATTACGGGTCTATTTTCCCGGGTCATTACAGCATTATGTAGTGCATCGTGCATCATCTTCATTGAATTTACTTCAATAGGATTTTGCTGTCGCATCGGACTTTCTTCAACATCCAGTTTCTCTGTGCTCTCACTTGTTCTGAAAACAGCTTGGATATTTTCTATAGAGTCACTTCAAGGCCTCATCTAGTAGAAAATTACAATAGTATTATAGAACCGAGGTATGTTCTCGATAATCCAATTAGTCTATATCATTCAACTCCATTTTCGACCAAGTGGGTTTTAATTAAATATCCCCACTCACTCCGAAAGCTCGTATTAAATCCAAAATGTACCCATTAACTCTGCCGATAAAGGCGTCCTTAAAACTTCTCATATTTCATATTCAAAACTGCGAAAATTAATTCGCAACAAGAGCCTTTAATTTCGTCCAAAAAAGCTTATAAATTCCGCAACATGGTGAGGTTAACGCTTCGGAACAATCTCATAACACTTTCGTTGTTGCTTCGGGGAGTTATTGGAATCGATTTTGAGCCGATAGGGTAGTAGACCTGCCAGTTTTTGTTATAAACGCGTCTTATAATGCCCATATTGGCTTAGTTTCTTGTCGGGATAGAATAGAAAAATTACCTCGAGGGATGAGAATGGAAAGAGAAAAAATTATTACCGTTCCTCGGTGGAATTTTCAATTTGCTACCAAGAGTTATTTACGATCATAACTTGTTTCGTTAATTTCCTAGTTGTATTTTTCATCTCTTCCCAAGATAAAAAGGCTCGTAAGTCATGCAGTCTAAAATTAAATACGCTGCAGAGGCTTAAAATGGTTGATTTATGAAGCCGATCGAAAGCCTATATCAATTATTCAGTGTTCAATTTGAATTTTGACTGATTATGAATTACAAATAATTCGAACTTAGACATGAAAATTCCCATAGTAATTTGTCTTGCAGGTTCGATTAAATAGAATTGTTCGTTGACCCCATAATCTCACCCCCATTACTTTCAAATCCCTTTGCTGGGGTTTAACATGAAAGTTTTAGTTCCGCAAGTGCGGGCATCTGCTTTAAAGGAGGAATGGATTTCCGTTTGCTTTTGGTTTTAAATTGAAATTGATAAATTTGAATGTTTACTTTTGGTTATTGAAGATTTCAGTTTTTATTGTAATTATATTTATTGATATGGCAATCAATTTGTTGTCCCTTTATATGCGAGATTTAAAAAAATTCAATTAGCATGCCACACTACATATCTACATATTTTCATTTGCTTGATATTGAAATATGTATACTTTTTTCTATTTACAAAAAACTCTCTTTTGAAATCAAAATACAATAGGTTTATTTCCAATTTACAATGTAGTTAATAAACTCGTAATGAACATATACTGAATTCCAAATGTTAGAGATCAATTGTTGATAAATGCCGAGGATATATATGTATTTGTGAATTCATATCCATAATTAGTCGGCAAATATGATAAGTTCTTAACTAGTAATTCAATTTTTAAGAAGATTAAACCAAATATTGGTGGACAACATCCATTGTTTGTATAGGCATCACGACCCAAATCCCATTATCCGACATGTAAAACATTATTTATCGGCCTGAAAGCAAAAACATGTTTGTTTATTATACGAAAATATTCATCAAGTTGCGGCGAACCCGATACCCCTTATCGATTTTCGCCATGCAAATATTTACCAACCAGATTTATTTCCAGAATCTTTCAATCGACAGCTTTTATTTATTTAGTTAATTAATTAATAAATGTTTTCCAGATTCCTACCAGTCAACCGACAAGGCTTTTCAGCTTTATGAACCCTTTAGCGGTGGAAATATGGATTTACGTTTTAGCGGCGTATCTCTTAGTGTCTTTTACCTTATTTGTAATGGCCAGATTTTCGCCCTATGAATGGAACAACCCCCATCCTTGTCATCAGGATTCTGATATTGTTGAAAATCAATTTTCGGTTTCGAATAGTTTTTGGTTTATCACTGGGACATTTTTGAGACAAGGATCTGGATTGAATCCTAAGGTTTGAATCTATAAATGCATGTGTATATAAGCATGTTTAGAGGCTTTTTTTTATATAAAATATTACCCTATCGCTTTTGTTCAAGGTCTACCAACGAGTTCCTGCTCACCTATTCTCCTTCCTAACACCCCTAGCTGTAGATATTTGGATTTACATGGTGATAGCCTACATTATAGTGTCGCTTACAATCTGGATAGTAGCCAGATTTTCGCCTAGGGAATGGAAAGAAATGGAGCTTTGCCCCGATTGCTTACAAAAAAAATACGAAGAAATTTATGAAGACAAGTGCGAGCATATACTAATGCTCACTAGCAACAGTGACTTATCATCTGGAATCGGTAGTGACAATGATAATGATAAAATAAGTGATTCAGAAGATCAGTCGTTTATTCAGACGCAGCAAGAATTTTGCGATGGTTTGCATCACGAGCCCAGGACAACGTTGGACGTTTTGGAAAACGGATTTACCTTGGGCAATAGTTTTTGGTTTGCCATTGGAAGTTTGATGCAGCAAGGATCTGACTTGAATCCTAAGGTATTCAGTAGATGATGCTAGATAATGCAAAATAATGTAGATTGAGAGAGAAGCTTTGATGTAATAGAAAGCTAGAAAATTGAATAAGGAAATATTGATTTGAGAACCATAGAATAAGGAAAAGTACTAGTGATATTGATGATTATTCAACAAAAGATAGAAAGATTTTTCTAACTACCAAAATTCAGCTGGAATAATTTTGTTCTTTGGAATTTGTATTGAACGCCGCAAGGGAACAGAAAACTTTTTATTTCAATTTTACACCCTAAAATTTTGCAAAAGGGGCGTGTTTTTAGAAAATTTATCAAATGTAAAATATCGCAATGTTCTCTGGTCGATTTTTAGATTTTGTAAAATGATGGGCATAAAAGGCATACAATTTTTTGAAGTTTCTCCGCTGATATATTTAGAATATTTGAAGTCTTCCTCTTTCCAAGATAACGAGCCGGTTAAAAACTACAAACACCCATGCCCTAGCCGGGTTTCGAACCCGCGACCCGCAGCATGCAAAGCAGATACACTAACCACTACACTACCTAGTCTTAGTTAGGCATTCATCTAAGTGACTTCGAGAGACTTTATTTTTCCACGTAATCATTCACACAATCCGCTTATTTTTGTTTGTTTTCAAATTTTTTGTGACAAGTACTACATTCAAATTTAATCTTTTTTATACCTTGGGTATACAAGGGTCGCGTAAGAGGCAGGGTGGAAACATCTCTTTTCCATAAAAGAGACTTTCAACTGAACTCAAGGACTTACATCTATGTCTAACTTCTGCTCTAGAGACCTAGTAGCGGTAGATGATCCCCCAACACGGGAGTTCATCGATTTGGTGGAGTACTGTAACTCACTGAGCCTTCCGTTTATTGTCAGATGCGATGCGAACGCACACTACATGGTGTGGGGCAGCACCGACACGAACCGGCAGTTTTGCCAGGTCTACTGATTTATCAGTTGATCTACTGATTTGGTCACTGGTCTACTGATATACTCATATCAATGTAAATTCTACTGATAAAAGCCGTTTTCATTATTTACCTTTTTTTATGATATTTTTTAAATTAAAATCTTGTCTGAGAATGTCACAGCAACAATTTCATACGCGACTTTTGGGTTAGGACTTCTAGAAGTATTCTCTGAACGACGTCTGCCCGATCTCCGATCAGTCCGGTGTGATTTGTATTGAAACAAGCGAACGCTTGCAGTGCAGGCGCTGCACTCAACCTAACTGGGGAATCCCCGGTGTTCGTGCATGTTTGTGTTATGTCTTGTTGTCTTGTTTATTTGCCTTTTGTCTTGCCACTTGCGTAAAGGCATTACAACTAACTGCAGCCTGTTTTACCCGTTTTTCTAAAACTAGACTACTGCATAGGCACTACCATTTAAAAAAAGCTGAAAACATGCAACATTCCACATTTCTGACATTCAATTTTTTTTTTGACCATGGATTCTAAAAATTTAGCCAATACTGTACAACTTTTGTATTTACACCTTTCATCTACTTTTAAAGGTGAAGGCTGTAGGTGGGGTGTCAATATATAAAAAAAACACTCTGTACTTGAACAATAGCTTATTATATAAAATCAGAATTTGTAAGATTATCCATTTTTTGTCAATTCGCCTTTCAACAGGAATTAGTCATGTTACTTTACCAAACTAGTAATATATTGTGACAAGTTATTCAATTACAAATGAATGAATTGTTGCGGAACTTATGGGTGGACCTCTGTGGGACGAGCGCAGCGAGTTCTGCAGCCATCTATTCATTAATATGTTGTTTAATTACGATATTAATCTGACTCAAATGTGAGTTATTCTCATTAGTTTAAAAACTACATGTTTCAGGTGAATGTCTTACTTGAACAGTTCAACAGTATATTGGTGAGTAGATGGCTGCGGAACTTGCTGCGCTCGGTTTACAGAGGTTCACCCATAAGTTCCGCAATAATAATAATCCACTTATTTGTAATTAAACAATAATTTATTACATAAAGTCAAAATTTTTAAGATTATGATTATTCACTTTCTGTCAATTCGCCTCTCAATAGGAATTAGTAATGTTACTTTACCAAACTATTCATCAATATGTTGTGTATTTACGATATCTACTAATTTGACTCACTTAAATGTGAGTTATTCTCATTAGTTTAAGAACTGTTCCAGGGGAATGTCTCACTTAAACAGTTCAGTAGTATATTGGTGAGTAAATGGCTAGTCATCATTTTGGTTTTGGAAAAGATCATCTTTTGGTATACTTCTTGCATAGCATTCTCAAGTTCCTAGAGCATTCTTCAATTTCGTCCAGACTGTGTGATATTAGGACAATATCATCTGCAAATTGAAGATTATTAGGACTTTCCCCATTGATGATTATTCCTTTTCAATCCCAAGGCAATTTCTTAAAAGCTTGTTCGAGAACTGTGATGAACAGTGTAATGTTATGGATTCTTTTATCATAAATAGACAATACATCTTTTAATGAAGCTTCACTCGGTCAGTTGTGAAGCCGGTGTAAAAGCAACCAATACAAAAACTAAATATTAAAATGGTGGACATTCCCTATCATCTCCAAACAATACCTTAACAACCGGCACAGGAACATGGCAGGGTTGATATAATCATACCATGTTCTGATACAAAATCCTCGCTTCTATAATAATAAAAAGACTTATGGCCGTTTGCACCGACCATTTTAAGGAAGCCTTAGCGATAAGTATTCCTTCAAGTGACATTTCCTCATGTAAAAATGCCATTTTAAGGGATACTTATCGCTAAGGCTTCCTTAAAATGGTCCGTGCAAACGGTCATTAGAGTTTAAGTAACATAGTCTTGAATATAAGTGTGTCTTAATGTGACGCTTTGGTCTACTTATTCTAAAACTAGCATTCTCGCCCCTATTTTCATCACTTGCCATATCATCCGATTGAACTTCGGATTCTGCAGCACCAAATTGAAATTCAACATTTTGGTTTTGATTAACAGACTTTTCCAGTCTAGCGTTAGTAGAATCAACTATATTGGAAAATGATGGTGACTATATTAAATTTATGTTTGCAAGAAGGAATAGTTTCATTAGGAAAAGAGTTCTGATGGTTTGCTACTGGAAACCATCTATTTCTTCGAAAATTATCTCTCTAAGTTTCGAAAAGATAAGTCTACGGTTCCTTAAGCTTTTGAATAATTTTTCCATATGTTTTGAGATCAGTCACCCATTCATTCTCATCAACCTTTAAATCTGAGAGCTCTCTGGTACGATGACGCTATTATATTTTTGCCTCGTGTTTTCTCTATACTTTTCGTCACTTTGGAAAATTGGGCTTGTATCAACCGTTTGATTGAAATATTGAGTTAAAATTGGAAGATGAGAACGAATCTTCCTGTTAAATAATAATTATGCTGGAGTAAAACCATTTTCCTTCCAAAAGAGTAGTACGTTATGCTAACAAATATACATTTAAATTATCAACAATAAAAGTTAAAAGTCAGAATTTGTAAGATTATTCAGTTTTTGTCAATTCGCCTCTCAACAAGAATTAGTAATGTTACTTTACCAAACTAGTAAGATAATGTGACAAGTTATTCAAGTACAAATGAGTGAATTGTTGCGTAACATATGGGTGGACCTCTGCGGGACGAGCGCAGCGAGTTCCGCGGCCATCTATTCATCAATTATGTTGTTTATTTACGATACTAACCTGACTCACTCAAATGTGAGTTATTCTCATTAGTTTAAGAACTACATGTTCCAGGTGAATGTCTTACTTGAACAGTTCAGCAATATATTGGTGAGTAAATGGCTGCGGAACTCGCTGCGCTCGTCCCGCAGAAGTCCACCCATAAGTTACGCAACAATCCACTTATTTGTACTTGAACAATAACTTATTATATAAAGTCAGAATTTGTAAGATTATCCACTTTTTGTCAATTCGCCTTTCAACAGGAATTAGTAGTGTTCCTTTACTAAACTAGTAATATATTGTGACAAGTTGTTCAAGTACAAACGAGTGGATTGTTGCGGAACTTATGGGTGCACCCAGCCATCTATTCACCATTATATTATTCAAGTACAATACTAACCTGATTCACTCAGTTATGAATTTTTCTCATTAGTTCAAAAACTACACGTTTCAGGTGAGTGTTTTTTTTTTTGAACAGTTCAACATCATATTGGTGAGTAGATGGCTGCGGAACTCGCCGCGCTCGGAGGTTCACCCATAAGTTACGCAATAATCCACTTATTTGTACAGGGTGTTTTTTTATATATTGACACCTTACCTACCTTCTTCACCTTTACAAATAGAAGAAAGGTGTAAATACAAAAGTTGTACAGTTTTGGCTGAATTTTTAGAAACCATGGTCAGAAACAAAAATTATATGTCAGGAAGGTGAAATTTTGATTAGTAATGTTACTTTACCAAACTAGTAACATAATGTGATAAGTTATTCAAGTACAAATGAGTGAATTGTTGCGGAACTTATGGGTGGACCTCTGCGGGACGAGCGCAGCGAGTTCCGCAGCCATCTATTCATCAATTATGTTGTTTATTTACGATACTAACCTGACTCACTCAAATGTGAGTTATTCTCATTAGTTTAGGAACTACATGTTCCAGGTGAATGTCTTACTTGAACAGTTCAGCAATATATTGGTGAGTAAATGGCTGCGAAACTTGCTGCGCTCGTCCCGCAGAAGTCCACCCATAAGTTCCGCAACAATCCACTTATTTGTACTTGAACAATAACTTATTATATAAAGTGAGAATATGTGAGATTATCCACTTTTTGTCAATTCGCCTTTCAACGGGAATTAGTAGTGTTACTTTACTAAATTAGTAATATATTGAGACAAGTTGTTCAAGTACAAACGAGTGGATTGTTGCAGAACCTATGGATGGACCCAGCCATCTATTCACCAGTATGTTATTCAAGTACAATTCTAACCTGATTCACTCAGTTATGAATTTTTCTCATTAGTTTAAAAACTACACGTTTCAGGTGAGTGTTTTTTTTTTTGAACAGTTCAACAGCATATTGGTGAGTAGTGCGGAACTCGCTGCGTTCAGAGGTTCACCCATAAGTTACGCAATAATCCACTTATTTGTACAGGGTGTTTTTTTATATATTGACACCCCACCTACAGTCTTCACCTTTACAAATAGAAGAAAGGTGTAAATACAAAAGTTGTACAGTTTTGGCTAAATTTTTAGAAACCATGGTCAGAAACAAAACTTAAATGTCAGAAATGTGAAATTTTGCAAGCTTTCAGGTTTTTTCAATCATTTGAAAAAACGTAGTTAAAATAATCAATTGAGTATACCTTAATGGTTTACCCCTCAACAAGGCAACTTATTTGTTTACTGATTTTTAGACTGGTAATCTACTGACGAAACAAAATATGACCTGGCAACACTGCAAACCGGAGAGGACTCAGTCTTCTGGAGTTAGGGTTGCCAAGCTTCCTATTTTTAATATGAGACTCCTATATTTTAACTGTTTCTCATATCTAATATTAGCATGTTTAATATGAGACTATTTCTCATATATTTTGATTAAAGAAAAGAAACCACTTATATCACTAGCATACACGTGATAAGTCGGAGTCTTATGTATCCGTTTTCCGACGTCCGATGTCCGGAAAACCTTCTATACTGACATATTCGTATAATATGTCAAAACAGAAGGTTTTTCGGACATTGGACGTCGGAAAACAGATGCTGATGCACGTGACTCTGGCTATATGATGAAGTCTCATGCGATGCGTCCCGTCCCATGGAGCTCCTATTGGCTGAAAAATTTCCCACCACTTTTTATCTGAATATTTCCAACTTTTTTCCGACGACAACTAATAGTCAAGATAAGTGCTTTTTCGAATTTAAGTATTTTGCAGTACATATAATATTTTCATATATTATTTTCCAATTTCATATAATTTTACACAGGCTCTCCTATTTTCAAAACTCAAGTATCTGGCAACCCTATCTGGAGTACCTTTATACCATAGATTTAGAAATCCTGAACCGTGGCAGCGTACCGACCTTTATCACTTTACGTAGACAAGAGGTAATAGACTTGACATTGAACTCACTATCCATAGCCCTGATGATAAGCAAGTGGACAGTGTCTGACGAAACGTCCCTATCGCATCACAGACAGATCCTATTCAGCTGGGACCTTGATCACAAGGCTGGGCCCAGTAAGTTGAGGAACCTCCAGAACACAAACTGGGACCAAAACGTTGAGATCCTAAGGGCTAAGCTAGAATAGTTTTCCACGCCATACCGCAGTGCAAGGCAAGTGGAGGAAACAGCTGAATTCATACGCAACGGAATCACCAATTCGTACGAACGAAACTGTCAGCTTCGGACCTATCAAGGAAAGAAGAAAACCCCTTGGCTCCAACTTCGACAAGGCTCCTAAAGAAACCCGGAGGCTCTACAACAGGGCCATACTAGCTAGTGATTTAGACTGTTGGAGATCATTGGAGAATCTCTGTGAATATTCAGTTGAACGTTCAAGTGACGATAAAATACTCGATGATTCCAACGGTAAACATGATAGCAAATAGAAAATATAACGCAAATACAAGTCGGAAATTAGTCGCTAGGAGCACAAGGAACAAGATAGAGCACTGTGGATCTACTCCATAAGACACAACCCCAGGAAATCAGAATTACTCCATCTAGGTCTTTAAATTAAGGCTATACTTGGAATATAACGTGGAATCAGAAATCTACTTGTCTTCTGTGCAAAACCAAAAATGTGTGTGTTAAATGCGAAATTCATAATATACTCCTGTTCATGGGACAGTTTTTGACGTATTGACCTAAAACAACTATGTATAGTATATTTCAAGAGCCATTATCTCAAGACTCAAGTTATGAAATAGTATTCTACCTCAATGGATTATAATTCGTTTGTACGTGAAACACATTTTGCTTTTTGATACAGCTGATGCAATATTTCCCCAATTTGAAAAAGCTAAAAATCCAAAACAATTAGTTGAAATAGTTGTTAATCTTTAAACCTCTCTGAGTCCGGTTATGTGGGGGCACCAGCTCGTTTTATTTTTCGTCGAAATAATGGCTCATGAATTACGATTATTGCGTTCGCTCCATTGTGTGAACAATTTATAAGGTTTAGTTTTTGTTTTTCTAAAACGGTTTTCTCGTTTATCTATGTTACGTTTTTTTTTTTTCGCGTTGTCGGTTCAACGAATAATTTAACAAAGTGGGTGATAAACGAGCGGAAATTAATTTAGCTCAAAAATTATTTATTTATTTATATTTTTTGATGTATAGCTAAAGGCTTGAATAATCTAGAAATATAGTAGCAAATTTAGATTCAATAGCGCAAATTCCCCAAACCTGCATGGATTATAAATAATAATAACGTTGTCGGCACTGCAAAATTTTGATTAATGCACGTTTTAATTGCGCATTTTCATTATTAACTAACCCGGCAAAGGTGATAATTATTGAAAATTGCAATTAATCATAATTTTACAATCTGATAAATAGGTTATTTGATTTTAGGCTACTTCAACGAGGATTGTCGGAGGTATCTGGTGGTTTTTCACACTGATAATTATATCGTCATATACAGCAAATTTAGCAGCTTTTTTAACTGTCGAAAGAATGATCACACCAATTGAAAGCGCCCACGATTTGGCCGATCAAACCGAAATTGCTTATGGTACATTGGAAGGAGGCAGCACTATGACGTTTTTCAGGGTAACTTATACAAAATTTACAATAACTCAATTCAAATAGTACTTTGTAGGATTCCAAAATTGGCATCTACCAAAAAATGTGGAGGTTTATGGAAAGTCGGAAACCTCCGGTTTTTGTAAAGTCTTACGAAGAAGGTATCACTAGAGTGCTGCAAGGCAACTATGCTTTTTTGATGGAATCTACGATGCTTGACTATGCTGTTCAGAGGGACTGCAATCTGACACAAATTGGTAACAACAACATACACTTTTTAGTAGAGAGATCACAAAACTGAGGTCGAAATCATGTCTTGACTTTTAAGACTCTCTTTAGAGAGCTTCACGAAAGTCTTATATTTTTGTCTCTGATAGGTGGACTTCTAGATTCCAAAGGCTACGGTATAGCAACATCGAAAGGTAGTCCATGGAGAGACAAGATATCGCTAGCAATTTTAGAACTACAAGAAAAAGGAGTCATACAAATCCTATACGATAAGTGGTGGAAAAATACGGGCGACGTGTGCACGAGAGATGACAAAAGCAAAGAATCAAAAGCGAACGCCCTGGGAGTGGAAAATATCGGTGAGTTATTTCTTCCAGCTGAAAATGCGTCTTTGTTCGGATGCGCCAGACTATAAAATGAAACATGGGACGTATGGTAATTAAAAAGGTCTTTCAATTATATCGTATTTCCCACGCGAATTGCTCGTTTTCATCAAATGCGCTCTTGCATATTTATGACTTTCTTTATTACATACGTTTAAAGTTTGCATGAATTAATTTGAAAGAAACTAAATAAAGTGTACAAATCATGTCACGATCAAAAACATTCCCGGGGGTAAAATCCAAACAAAATCGAACTCGATTGTCCGAGAGAGTTAACAATTGACGTACGTGATCGAACTTTTCGGCAATAACAGAGTTAAATTCCGGATTTCTCTCTTTCTAGTTTCGTCTACCTGTTGAAGCTGACCTTTCCATCTCTTGACAACCGTATTTCTTAACTTTTGAAATTTTAAATTATACCCCTAGGGATCACGAGTTTTCATTGAAAAAGTTTTCGGGTATTGCCAGTAACTCATTAGGAGTTTTAAATTAGATTATAGAGTGTTGAGTCACCTACAGCAACTTTATATTAATTTATGTTGTTTGTGAAATAAAAACATTAACAGGATTTTTGATTTGAAGGGTAGACTAAAAATCTTATTGCAATATTTAATTCAGAAGAAGAATGCATTAACTTATATGAAAAATGGAAAGGCTTCTGGACCTCTCAACCTGAAGATTGAATTGTTAACAGCCCCCCAAGTAAAACTTATAGAGATCCTTTCGAAGATATTCACTAAATGTTTTAGAGGAGAACAACCGCCACTATTCTGGAGGATAGGTTTAATTTAATCGATTTTCAAAAAAAAAGGACTCTGTAAAAACTAGAGAGGAATCACCGTCACAAGCTCAGTAGGATTACATAGACTTATTCTGAAAAACTTGAAATCGAGTTCCAAGCAGTGTTGCCAGAGGTGGTGCAATTGTACCAAATTTGGTTCCATGCGCCTTGAAAAAGTACGCTGCTACGACGTCGGCATATTTGGTACAATTTTCAATTTTTCTTTTTTCCAAATTCTCAAAGGGTCTTAGCCTACTGCCTACAGTCTAATGTCGATGTTCTAATTAATTTGTATTTCTATATCCAAATTCGATATAACAATTATTTCTGATTCGTAAATAGATGGCGTCACCTATGTAACACTCGTTTTATGGTTCTTGGTTGTACGTAGTTTGTGTTTAGTTTAGGATTTCACCTCAATCAAATATTCGCTTTGTTTGGTTTTCATCGTAATTTGACAATTTTGCGTTTTAAATGGCATCCTACCTTATCTCACCCATTTGAGGTTTTTGCAAACATATATTACTTTATTAATGTCTTTGTCTTACTCACAATTAAAACATTTTTTCATTAAAATTAAACTAAAAACATGTTTCCAAGACCTTATTTGGGAAATTTATTGTTTTATAATCGTTATTATTCAATTATTCAACAGGTTTTAATTAAATTAAACCATTTGAAATGTCATTAATGTCATGCGGCAACGTCGCTTTTAGTCGGCCAATTTGCAGTGACGTGTTTATCCAGTTTTTCCTTGGATTTTCCATTTTTCCAGGGCGTTTTAAGTCGAAAAAACTGGTTAAACTACGAGGCTTTGAGTTTTTTTCATTTTGTGCAAAAAATTTCCAGTTTTCCAATAGGGTAAGTGACAAAAACTCAAGTTACAAGAAGGTGCTGGAATGTTCTTTTTAGAGGTTTTTCTTTGGATTTTCCGCTTTTCCAAAGCTTCTTCAATTAGGAAAACCGATTTTAAATATGAGGCTTTAAGTTTTTTCCATTTTGTACCAAAAATTTCCAGTTTTCCAATGGGGTAAGTGACTAAAACTTAAATTTCATCAAGTAGACTTTGAAATGTCCTTTTCAGAGGTTTTTCTTTGAATCTCCCGCTTTTTTAGGGCGTTTTCGGTCGGGAAAACCGATTTTAAGTACGAGGTTTCGAGTTTTCTTCACAGATTTATATTTTTAAATGCAATAATTAGGAAAATCCCATTTAAATGCTTTTTCTGGAAGTTTTGATGTGGCAACATCGTTTGTAGCCAACTTCAATCATGTAAACCTTGTAATAAATGTCATTTGTCAATTTGGAAAGTCGACCATTTTGAGTGTTTTCATCCATGTTTTTCCTCGAAATTTCCGCTTTTCCAGGCCGTTTTAAAACGGAAAAAATGGTTTAAAGTACGAGGCTTTAAGTTTCCTTCATTTTGTGCCAAAAATTTTCAGTTTTCCAATAGGGTAAGCAACAAAAACTCAAATTTCATCAAGTTGGCTTTAGAATGTCCTTTTCAAAGGTTTTTTTTTGAATTTTCTGCTTTTCCAGGGATTTTTGGATCGGGAAAACTTATTTTAAGTACGAGGTTCTGAGTTTTCTTCATTTTGTGTCAAAAATTTCCAGTTTTCCAATGGTACCTACGTGTAAGTGACAAAAACTTAAGTTTCATCAGTTAGGCTTTGGAATGTCCTTTTCAGAGGTTTTTCTTTGGATTTCCCGCTTTTCCAGGCCGGGAAAACCGATTTGAAGTACGAGGCTTTGAATTTCCTTCATTTTCAGCCGAAAATTTTCAGTTTTAAATTAAAATTAACAACGCAAAAAAAAAAGTAAAAAACAACTTTTTAGGGGAATTTATAATTTTTTTTTTCAGGTGGCAACACTGCATTGTAGCCAACTTTGCTCGGGTTCCAATCATGACATTTGAGAAAAAAGTATGGTCACCCCCACCCTATTATAGGCTGGTACATTTTTACTGAATCTGGTACAATTTGTCTTTAATTTAGATAGAAAAAATTTTTGCTCTCTGGCAACACTGGTTCCAAGAATCAGAGGAACGAAATGGTTTCAGGGCAGGACGTTCTTGTATAGATGGAGTGTTTATGCCTCTAAATGGGATAAACAACTCATATGTGAATGTTGTCAAAACTCTGTATACCAATACATACAGATCAGCTAAACAAGATCGTCAACTTTCCGAAAAGTTCCTAACAACAAAAGTTATTGCCGACGAATTGGCTGATGACTTGGATCTAGGACATGATTCCCCAGAATTCTCAATCCACTAATTTTTATTTGTGTTCAAATTTTTTGTGACAAGTATCACATCCAAAATGGAAATTTCCCAGTTTAAATTTTTTTATGACAAATATCACACTCCAAATCATATTTATTCGCATGTCTTACTAAAATGTTCTCTTGAAAATTCTATTTAAAAAAAAATAGAAAAAAACAACTCATATATGAATGTTGTCAAAACTCTGTATACCAATACATACAGATCAGCCAAACAAGATCGACAACTTTCCGAAAAGTTCCGAACAACAAAAGTTGTTGCCGACGAATTGGCAGATGACTTGGATCTAGGACATGGTTTCCCAGAATTCTCAATTCACTAATTTTTGTTTGTGTTCAAATTTTTTGTGACAAGTATCACATCCAAAATGGAAGTTTCCCAGTTTAAATTCTTTATGACAAATATCACACTCGAAATCATATTTATTCGAATGTCTTACTAAATGTTCTCTTAAAAATCTTATTGAAAAAAAATTAGAAAAAGGTAGACTTAAGGCTCATCCTCAATCAATTTAGTAGCGAAGTGGCACTTCGGCACGCAAGCTAGGAAAATGTTGTTTAACGTTGGCATCCTCAATTCAATTCCGTGCTGGAATGCACGTCGACTCCGAAGTGAAGTTTGCAAGCTGCCAGCTTTTTCGATGCGTGCCGACTTATGTCATGCGCAGTACGTTTAAAAATTAATTTAGGTTATCCTTGCGTTCGGTATTTTGCTCGAAGAGCAGAGCGGAGCTGTAATCACGTGACCAGCAAGCGCACAGAGCAGTTAAACGCTGTATCAGAGAGCTCGAAATTTTAATAAACTAACGTGAATGAGCTTACACCGAGTACATTTTTTAAATAAACGAACGGTAAATTTATGCTCGGAGAACTCCGATCAAAATACCGAACGTACGTTTCGTGACCGTACTACACGTAGAGCAGACTGAAAATTGACAGCATTGAGGATGGGTATCAATTTCTCAGCACGCGTGCCAAAGTGCCACTTCGCTAGCAGATTGATTGAGGATGTAGCTTTATGACACAGTTTCACTGAGTAAATTGTAGGTAGCAATACGTCTAAAATGGGATAAACAACATATGTGAATGCTGTCAAAACTCTATATACCAAGACATACAGATCAGCCAAATAAGATCGACAACTTTCCGAAAAGTTCCTAACAACAAAAGTTGTTGGCGACGAATTGGCAGATGACTTAAATCTAGGACATTGTTTGGTGGAGAATCGCCCTTCGTTCAAATTTCTTGGTGTTACTCTTTCTTCCAATGGTGAAAGCACCTAAGACATCTCGAATAAAGTTGGTCAAGGGCGAAGAGTTATTTCCCAATGAGATTCCTTTCTATGAGGCAACAAAAAGAAACAAGAAAATAGGATACTATACCATTTTTGAAAATATAAATACATATGGCTCCCCAGAATTCTCAATTCACTATTATTTGTTTCTGTTCAAATTTTTTGTGACAAAGTATCACATCCAAAATGGAAGTTTCCCAGTTCAAATTTTTCATGACAAATATTACACTCAAAATTATATTATTCCAATGTCTTACTGAAAGTTCTCTTGAAAATCTTATTAAATTAAGGACCCCTTGTTACTTGAAGGTTGCCTTGAATAAGGACGCCTTCGTGTTATGCGACTTTGGCGTTTCATAACAGCGAATTAAAGAATCCTTATTGAAGGAAGCCTTGGCTTAAGCTTTGCAACTGTCAACAACGGTTTCTACGAAATGTCTATTAACCTTTTGTTTGGACGCCATTTTGCGGTGCGAGAACATAGTTGCCAAAAGTAGAAAAAAAAATCACTAGCGTACTGTCAACATTAAAAACAAAACTTACTGAATAAATTACATTTAAAATTTAAATTTGCCGCCTATTACGAATGTTTTTGAAAAGAACAGCCATCAATTTCAACTTGCATTGGGCAGAATAGAAATAATAAAATATCTACCTATTCACTTTACCAAATTTCAGTTTCCTTTCTCAAGCCTAGTACTCATAACCGCGAAATTCGCTCTTTTTTGACATTGCTTCGACAATTGGACGTTTAATTCATGCCACAGATTTATACATAAAACGTCAAATTGTCGAAGCAATGTCAAAAAAGAGCGAATTTCGCGGTTATGAGTCTAGGCTTTAAATAGTGATTTGTCTGTGAAATTTATGCGCAAGTAGTTATGGCGATCAAGCATACTGAAACTGAGAAAATTTTTTTGGTTCAGATGGGAGCTCAGCAGTATTTCTCGACCCTTGATCTTGCATCTAGTTTCCACCAAATCGAACCAACTGATATTTCAAAAATCGCCTTTCCAGTGGAAAATGGCCACTATGAATTCGTTCGTATGCCATTTGGGTTGAAGAATGCCCCGTCCACATTCCAGCGCGTCATGGACAATATTCTCTTAGGCATTCAAAATGAAAGATGTCTGGTCTACATGGACGAAATCATCATTTATTCACCTACCATCCACATAGGCACATAGACTCAAAGAAATATTCAATCGTCTTCGAAAAGCAAATCTCAAAATCCAACCAGACAAATGCGAATTTTTGCGCAAAGAAGTCGCATACCTTGGCCATCTTGTTACCAAGGATGGTGTGAAACCAAATTCCTCTAAAGTAGATTGCATCTGTCATTTTCCTGAACCAAAAAACCAAAAGGACATAAAATTATTCCTTGGACTTGCTGGATATTACCGCTGATTCATTCCAAATTTCGCAAAAATATCCAAACCTCTCACAAAACTCTTACAAAAGAACGTAGAATTCAATTCTGATTCCGAATGCAAAACGTCATTTAGAGAGCTCAAAAACGCCCTAATCTCTGACCCTATTTTAATATACCCAGATTTTGAAGAACACTTTCTAGTTGAAAATAAATAAATAGACGCCATATTGTTTGTTCGGACTTAGTTCAGAATCAGTTCTGAAGAACATAAATAAACAAATTATTCTGAATTAAGTCCAAACAAACCCATTATTATAGAGAAAACCTGGGATGAAAATTGTATAGTGTAGGTACCGGACTTCGAGGCGTGATACTACATAATAAAAAAAGTCCTATGAACATAATATGCCCCAAGATGCTTTTTTGGTTTGTGAGTTAACTACCCTCTACCCTAATGGAAACTACCCTTTCAGAACTGTCACGACTTTTTTCACATCACCATCCGCTTTGGTATATCAAAATGTACGCGAGAATACAAAATTTCAAGAAAAATAGTTTGCCACTGATGCAATATTCGTGAAAATAAATAAAATGTATTATTTTCATCTACCGTTCGAAGGGCTGTAACTTCTTCAGGAAGCATCTTAGGGCATGTTCATAGGAACTTTTTTTCTTATTTTCATATGTAGTATTACCCCTCGATGTCCGGTTCACTATTTTTTTTACAACCTGTAAGTATGTATATACAATTAATCTATTAATTTTTTGATGTTTTTTTTTATCTGACTTTTTTAATGTCTTAACTTTTGAATGTTTCAAGTTTCTGTTTCTTTTTCCTCTGCCAAATGTGAAGTCTAGAGACCTAAAATACTTTGTACTTTGTAATATGTGAGCCTCTATGTGAGCGAATTTGTGCCTGAAGAAAAGGACTTCTCGCCTCGAAATATGTAGAGCGCTTTAACTTGATCAAAGTAGTTTGTGGAGGAAGACTTTGTGTATTCTTTCGGAATTGAATTTCAACTCCACTTTGAGAAATGGACTACTTCTTCAATTTAGAATTCTAATGGATTCTGCATGTCTCGATTCTCGAATGTACCTTCTTGGCCTCCGCAGCACAATCCGCGTGTGGCTAAATTCACCAAAATGCAGTGATTTATCAATTCACTAATGCATGCTGATGCCTGATTTAATTTAATACTGCTTTTTTTCATTCCACTACGGTGCCTATACCAGCTGAATTTAGCTACACGCAGTTATCATCGTCAGCGACATTTATCTCTGCAAATCAATTTTGCAGCTCATCCATACTAATTACAATACTTATGATAAACTTTTCACATCAATGAAGTACAGTTCACGTATTGTCATCAATAAGGTTCAGTCACCAATAGGTTAGAAAACTAGTCTCAAGGGACCTCTGGACATTCTTCAAGTCATGGAAGGAAATGTGTCAAAATACGCATGAGCTGCGATAAGGCCGCCTTGACACTTTTGACTCTGAAAGACAATTTACTGCCAAAGTAACCTTTAAGGAATCCTCAGTACTCAAGTAGGCACCATGAATACCAGGCTAAAGTTGTAGCCAGCAATGCGTCTAATGGGACAAACAACTCATATGTGAATGCTGTCAAAACTCTGTATACCTATACATATAAAAAGAAACAAGAAAATAATATACTATACCATTGTTGAAACTATAACTGTGTATGGTTCAGAAACCTGGGAATCAACAAAAAGTGATAGGATTACTGGAGAAGAAACATCAGAGCATCCAGACTAGATCATATTAGAAATAGAGAAATAAAACAATCGATGGAACTAGAGATGGAATTATCATAGACACAATTGAATCCAAAAGACTCACATGGTATGACCATCTCGAAAGCATGTAAACCATCAAGAAGCTGTGAAAATGACGTCATGGAGAAAAGAGGCCTTCAAGAAGGAGTCTGTTAGACCTATAGAAAGTGAGAAACGACGACAGTGTTGTGAACCACTCTCTGCTAATATATATTTGATTCATCATTGAACATTCTCACCGCAGTTTCAAAAATCCAATTTATTCTAGTTGGAATTTCAAATTCAAAAACATGAACTAATTTTATGTTCTTTTGGTTTTTTGGTTCAGGAAAATGACAGATGCAATCTACTTTAGAGGAATTTGGTTTCACACCATCCTTGGTAACAATATGGCCAAGGTATGCGACTTCTTTGCACAAAAATTCGCATTTGTCTGGTTGGATTTTGAGATTTGCTTTTCGAAGACGTTTGAATATTTCTTTGAGTCTATGTGCCTATGTGGATGGTAGGTGAATAAATGATGATTTCGTCCATGTAGACCGGACATCTTTCATTTTGAATGCATAAGAGAATATTGTCCATGACGCGCTGGAATGTGGACGGGGCATTCTTCAACCCAAATGGCATACGAACGAATTCATAGTGGCCATTTTCCACTGGAAAGGCGGTTTTTGAAATATCAGTTGGTTCGATTTCGATTTAGTGGAAACTAGATGCAAGATCAAGGGTCGAGAAATACTGCTGAGCTCCCATCTGAACCAAAAAAAATTTCTCAGTTTCAGTATGCTTGATCGCCATAACTACTTGCGCATAAATTTCACAGACAAATCACTATTTAAAGCCTAGACTCATAACCGCGAAATTCGCTCTTTTTTGACATTGCTTCGACAATTTGACGTTTCATGCATAAATCTGTGGCATGAATTAAACGTCAAATTGTCGAAGCAATGTCAAAAAAGAGCGAATTTCGCGCTTATGAGTACTAGGCTTGAGAAAGGAAACTGAAATTTTGTAAAGTGAAACAAAATTCCGTTTATTTTATTAATTAAATCTCGAAGCCTGAACCGTTGAATTCAAAAGGATTTGAAAGCAATCCGAAAAAACTTCAAGAGCTTGTAACAAAAGGATTTTATTGTAAAATCGTAATATCTACATTTTTATAGAATATTTCTTGTTTTTTTCTGCGAATGATTGCATTCATCTCCATTTAAAAAAAGCAGTTTCAAATTACTCCGGCCAGCTTACTGGTAATTCTTAAATTAGAAATTGTTTTTTATTTCTTGTTTCACTAATGCTAAAACTTCATGGAAACAACAATATTCAAAAGCTTTTTAGAACAAAGCATTTCAGAAATATAATTTTGAATCGAATATAATACTTTTATAAATCATAAATCAAGCAAACTTTTTCATGTAATTAATCATTTTAGATAGTCAAAAAGTTGGAAGTTTTAAAACCGATCGTCGATAAGTTAGTTTGGAAACTCAACAGGTAAAAATTTATAGGTTTTGGTCGCATTACATATACCGTGTATAAATTTTATTTTTAAATTTAATCAATCATTCCGCCGCTGAATGTGGCTTTGTCCATTTATACTTTATATAAACAAACCATTATTTTAATTAAATGAAATTATTAATACAAATATGTTATGCGAATGAATTAATTAAAATTATGCCAACAAAACCAAGTGTGGCTTTATATAAAAACTGGTATTTTCAATTTGTTTGAGGCAAAAGACGAGCAGCTAACAGTTTAGCCGAGCTCCAGTTTTTCCTACAATTCAATCAATCAATCCCTTTGTCTATACACAAGAGATGGATGGTTGCTGCTTTTTCGATAGGTTTATCGATGAGATAAAGACTAACCGTCTTTTATCTCTAAACTGACATTGACTGGAACTATTAAAGATTCAAAATCGTCTTTTCTAGGTGGAGTTTTCGTCGTTCTCCTTTGCGGCCTGGCTTTAGCTATACTGGTAGCCATATTGGAATTTTGCTGGAACAGCAAGAAAAACGCTCAAACCGATCGGCAGTCGTTGTGCTCGGAAATGGCCGAAGAATTAAGGTTCGCTATGAGGTGAGAGTTTCGTTGTTTCAAAAAATTATATTTATTAACGAAATTATAGATGTCACGGCTCGAGACAAAGACCCGCCCTACGTCGCAGTTGTGCTAGGTGCAGCCCTGCAACGACCTACGTACCGGCGGCGTTGGATTTGCCTCATCTTAACGGAGTAAGTAATTTTGTAATAAACATCAACCATTATCCTGTAGTCCCTGGTCATCCTCTGTATACATGGTACTTAAAACAGGAAATGAATTCATGCAGAATGGTTGTAGATTACCAAAAAATATATGAGAAAGCATTTGATGTTGAGAATGGACAATATGAATTTAACAGAATGCCCTTTGGACTAAATAACGCACCCGCAATATTCCAAAGAGTAATATTCTCCATTGCTCTTCGGAATGTTGCGGGTGCGTTCTTTGGTCCAAAGGCATTCTGTTAAATTCACAATGCCCATTCTCAACATTAAATGCTGTTTTTCTTCGATTGTTTTCTCATTTATTTTTCGGTAATCTACGTCCATTCTCCATGAGTTTCAGGTACCATCTATACGGTATTAGTGGGATTACAGAATAGAATATGTCTAGTATACAGGGAAGATATAATAATTTTCTTCACTTCGAGAACTCGTAAAAAATTTAAAAAAAGTATTTGAAAGGCTGGAAAAGTTCAATGTAAAAATACAATTAGACAAATCAGAATTCTTACACAGGACAGTTGAGTTCTAAGGATGGGTACGTAATCCTCATCTTAGCGAGAGCGAGATAAGATTACAGTCCGCTACTTCATTTCACGTTATAAACCATTCATTTTTGGTCAACATTCACCAGTTGAGCGAAGTTATGAATCTAGTTATCCAAAGAAAGCCAAGATACAATTACATAGATCCAGCAATTCCCTCAAATATGCTATCCCTGAAGCTAGAACTCATCCAAATCTTGAGAAACAGCGGTTCTCCAGCTCAGCAAGTGGTACCAGCAACCTTCCAGCTTGTTTTTGCTGAACTTGCTCCTGGAGAAGTTCCAACTTGTTTCCTTGACCTATAAGTTCCGATGTATTTTATACTCACGTGTGGCTGTTTTGGACAACTTTAGGCCAAACCAGATATTCTTAGTCAAGTTAGCGAAATTTTCAATCTACTCAGTTTTATTTTTGCGGTGACTCTTTTGGCCAACTGTCTCCTACTCCAACGGCTTTGGAAAGCCAACATCTCTTAGGATGATCTCCTTACTTCTGCTGAAGTATTGGAAATCTAGAATATAAGTCTCAGCTCGAACAAACCAAGATTACAATGCGTGTTGTAGCAGATTCTATTTCGAGAACACAATTTCAAGATTTCCAGTCAGGTCGATCATCTATTTCCGTAATCTGAAAAAGAGCATTTAATGTTGAGAATGAACATGATGAATTCAACAGAATGCCGTTTGGACTAAAGAACGCACCAGCAACATTCCATAGAGTAATATTGTCCATTACTCTTTGGAATGTCGCGGGTGCGTTCTTTAGTCCAAACGGCCTTCTGTTAAATTCACAATGTCCATTCTGAAAAAGTCTCCATTGATCTAATGTATACTAGGTGCATTAATTCAACCACAACAGAAAAAAATTAATTCCGTTTACGCCGCATAAATAACCGAAAACCCTTGGAAATCGATGCAATCTCCATGGGATAGAATTTAAATCAAATCGGCTTTAAAAGGAGATTAACTATTGACGGACGCACAATAGGAAAGAGAGAGAGACGTATTATGCATTTTGCTGCTTTTGGGTTGCTAGTCCTCCAGAAATAAATTGGATCGAACTAAACTGGGGCGGATTTTATTGCACGATTGTATTATTGTTAAATCGAATAATTTGTTTGTATTTTCTGGTCAAAAAATACAAACTGTGATGAATATACACTACATTCTCATTTGACACAATTTAAATGGTTCTGATAGGCACATGAAAATTCGATGCTTGATTTTTGTTGGGGAAGGTTAGGAGGATCTGCATCATAAGACATTTGAATTTAAATCTAGGGAAAAATACTATGACGCATACAATATTTGATAAAATGATTGTTCAGATTTCTCGAAATTTTCCCCAAATCCAGGAAAAAAATGGCGTTCATGTGGATGACATAAGATCTGTAACATTCCTCAAGAGGTTGCGTTGTAGCGTTAGCCTTTCACAGTCCAGGGCATTAAGTACTAAACTAGTAAGCCATGTCTGCCCCCCCAGAGACCTTTGAAAGGCACCAAGTTGAGCTCCTTCCTGCTTCCCTTATCGTGAGAGGGTAGACACGACAATTCGGTGAGTGTTTAAAAAATTTGGGTTCAGCGAACTTTCAGCCAGATATACTGGAATCGTTCGCCGAGTTTCCTGCTTTTTGCGTAGGACCGACAATACCGCTACCATCTTTCTGGAAAGAGTTCTAGGATCGTTCGAGAGATCCTCCTTCCTTCGAATATCGTGAGTTGGTAGACACGATAGCTCGGTAGAGTTAACAAAATTGCACCAGCGAACCAGCCATCGAAAATGTGGGTAGGGACAGTGGGAATCTTGTTAATCCAAAAAGACCTGTTGCCAAATTTCTGAAAAATTACTCAATTCAAGGAGAAACACTTTGACGCATACGATACCAATAACAAAATGATTGTAGAAAGTTGCCATAAAATCTAACTTTACTTTTCCATTTTTCCAGGAAGGCATAATTCTACCAATGATGGACATGAAAAAATCCCCAGTCACCTACGACGTGGACACTTAGCGACGACTCCCCTCTGGGGGATACAGCACCTTCGCTTGCGCCTCCACCTCGATTCGGGATTGTTGCGGCGGCCCCGCCACAGCGCAAAAGTCCGCAACCCTCAATTACAAAACCAGCCAATCAGGGCCCGACGTTAGTAACGACACTATGAAATGTGCCACTCTAGGACGTCGATCGTCCATACGTCGATTTGTATCGGTAGGCGGTGTAAATTATCATGCAGATAGTACGGGCGATGGGTACTGCCACAGTACCGATTCTTATGGTACTCAACAGTGTGATGTTATAGTGACTCGTGGTGCTGGAGGACAAATTTTAGTGTCTGGTACTGATATACCCGATAAAATACTGTGGAAGTTTGACGATATAACTAATAATCCAGATGTTGTTACGGGTAGTACCACGATATTACCCGATGCAGTCGTTAGCCGTACCACTACATTGTGATATTAAGGTTAAGGACGAAAAAGGTTGTTTAGATAAAATGTAAATAAAGAAGGTTTTATATGGGTTAAATGTGACATTAGGATAAATCAAAAAAACTTTAGGAAATTAAGATGACTGAGTATTGGTGTATAAAAATAATCAAATTGATTTTGTGATAAAAAAATGATGGTTTGTGTTTGATAAACTTAGCGGCAATTTCCACAAATCAATAAACATACATATACACTTCATTTAACGGCACTGACCCGAATTGAAGTTTTACCCAGAGAGAAGCAGTTTCGACTTTTTTCCTTTTTAGATTCTTGGCAAAGGAATCTGCGCGTCTTCCTTTAGAGCTTGGAAATTTTAAAACTGATTTACGTCCAAGATATTCTGTGCCAAAAAATAAGAGCGGAAGAGGGTTTGAATCTTTTGTCGCCGGCGTTAATCTTGTTTTTAAATAATTTATTTACAAGAAGTTTCATAGATTATATGTTACGTTAATATTTATTAGTTATTTATTTCAATAAATAAACATATTTTAAAAGTATTTGTATGTGTTTTTATTAAGGCTTAATTTAAAAAAAAAAAAGTTGATATTAGATAAAACTTCAATATTGCACGCCAGTTGTTCCAAAAGGCTTCGCAACAGAAAAGCCCTTTAAAATATTTAATCTTGTTTTAGCGAGAAAGAGGCTCGTTTTTCTCATGTTTCCAGGACCGTATTTGCATAGTATGCGTTATCGGAATAGAGGGGCTCCCCCGACGCGTTTTATTATTAAATTATGTAAATTTATATGTAAGTGAAGCAACGTATACTTTCAGAACGGATTAAATTTAGATTTTCCATTGTATCGAACAGAGCCTTCGATATTTTGATAAATTTTACGTTGGGGATTTTGGTAATGTTTAATAAACGTAAAGTTTTCTATGAAACCAGTCACCCAGTGCCCTGTCAGGACCCCTGTGATGGTTCTTAGTTTTTTTTTTTTGTCACTCATACTCTGCACTGAAGGTCATTGTGGCCTATTGTACATTATTTGCATGGACTCTACTCCTTCCCATTCATACTAGAGTCTACATGGTCGGCCTTATCATTCATTTCTCATCCTAAAATTCGCAATCCATGGTCGGCCATTCAGACTCCACCGACATCACGAAAGCCTGAGAAGATGGTACCTGAAATAGAAGATGCCCCATGGAGAATGATCGTAGATTAGCAAAAAATAAATGAGAAAATAATCGATGAAAAACAGCATTTAATATTGAAAATGGACATGATGAATTTAACAGAATGCCGTTTGGAGTAAAAAACGCACCCGTAATATTCCAAAGTGTAATTTTGTCCATTACTCTTTGGAATGTTGCGGGTGCGTTGTTTAGTCCAAACGGCCATCTGTTAAATTCACAATGTCCATTCTCAACATTAAATGCTGTTTTTTTTTGATTTTCTTCTACCTTATTTTTCGGTAATCTACGACCATTCTCCATGAGTCATCTTCTGTTTCATGTACCATCTATACAGTATTACTGGGATTACAGAATACAATATGTCTAGTATACAGAACTCGTAGGAAATTTGGAGAAATTATTTGAGAGACTAGAAAGGTTCAATGTAAAAATACAAATAGACAAATCAGAATTCTTAGACAGAACAGCTGAGATCTAAGGATGGGTACGTAATTCTCATCTTAGCGAGATAAGATAGTGGGCCTATTAAAAATTACAGTACACTACTTCATCTCACGTTGCAAACCGTATCATTTTTGGTCTGCATTCACCAGTTGAACGGAGTTATGAATCTAGATTTCTAGAGGAAGCTAAAATACTATTATGTAGATTCAGCAATTGCCTAAAATATGCTGTCCCTGGAACTAGAACTCATCCAAATCTTGAGAAACGGCGGTTCTCCCAACTCAGCAAGTGGTACCAGCAACCATCCAGCTTTTTTTGCTGATATTTCTCCTGGAGAAGTTCCTACATCTTGTTTCTTTGACAAAGTTGAGCTTATAAGTTCCGAAATATTTTATACTTATGTGTGGTTGTTTTGGACAACAGTTTTATTTGTGCTGTGATTCTTTTGGCCAACTGTCTCCTACTCCAACAGCTTTGGAGAGCCAACATCTCTAAGGATGATCTCCTTACTTCCGCTGAAGTATGAGAACCTTCCACATCCTCTCGTCAAGCGAACGAGCCGGTTAAACACCGCAAACAGCTATGCCCTAGCTGGGATTCGAACCCGGCAGCATGCGAAGCAGATACACTAACCACACTGCCTAGGTGGACATGGTTCTCAGTTGGCATCTGTTTAATTTGAGGAGGCTTTTTGCTTCTTTGTAGTTTGAGAGTCTTTATCTTTGACCATCTTTAATGAAAAGTAAGATGGTTTGCAAGGGCTTTGATTAGAAGAATCTACAAATGATGCATAATGAACTCAATGAAGCACAGGAAAATCCATCATCTACAGATTTCAATGTAGAAGAAATTTGACAAGAGTTCAAGAATTTTCAATAGAAACTCGAAGATAAACAATGCGATGTTCAAACAATGAAGTAGGTATGTCAAAAATGATGAAACTAAAACTTGTAGATTTTTTTAAAAAATGTACAAATTGCGCATTTGCCAATGAGAAGTTTCGGTTTTGTTCTTACCATATGCTGTCTTTATTTTGAAAATACCTTTATCAATTCTTGCTGATCCAAGGTGTTCAACCTAAATCCATGTTGCGGATAGTTGATTTCAAATCCTTTTTCTGCAGTGGCGGTTGTGATCATCATCATTATGGCTGCTAGAGAGAACAATAAATATGATTTTGTTGATGTTGTTGCTATGTTCCGGAGACGATCTGATCTCCTTACTTCTGGATGTAAAACGTTTTCTTCATTTCTACTGGCGTGGTTAGACATGGCGCCTCTTGATGGATAATGTTCAACTCTTCTTGATCTTGAGTCTCGTTGAGAATTTCGCGGTGGAGTAACTATCGGCCTGTCTTGGTAGTTGAGCTGCCTGTTAGAATTTTGTTGGTGACTGTCCATATGAAGAAGCGTGTGGTTTTGACGTGCTGTATGACTGAAACATCTCTTATTGATATCATGGCTGAGAGAGTTGTAGCAGATGTGCTCTCCTTGAACATATGTATTTCTTTCCTGTGCTGAAATTCCTTTGAATTTCTGGTTTCTCAAGGACTTAAGAGCTCCCCGGTAAAAACAGCTCCCCGGTAAAAACAGCTCCCCAGTAAAAACAGCTCTCCGGTTAAACCCTAAGTAATAGAGGCATTCCATGAACAACCATTAGGTACTTTGAAAAAATAAATAAAAAAGGCTTACCACGAGGGGTTCGGAATTCAAATTCAAATAAAACGGTAATCACGAGATTTTTTATTTAAATTTTTATTTCGAATTTTGTTGCTGACTGTCCATATGAAGAAGCGTGTGGTGTTGACGTGCTGTATGACTGAAACATCTCTTATTGATATCATGGCTGAGAGCTCAGACTAATAATAATAGTTGGGGAGCTGGCGTCAAAAACATGCAAGAGTTTTCGCAAGGCGGATATTTTCAAAATAGGTCGTACTTTAGTGTTAGAATGCTAGTGTACAGTCAGCACTCACAGTTCCGGGACAGCTGGCTCTGGGACGCGGGCAAAGTTGTAATTTTAAGAAGCATCTAAACTGTTTTCTCAAAGCTCAAAATTTATAGAAATTTTGCACATTATCTGTTTGAAGGTCACAGATAACGTATGTAAATCGTCAGACGTCTAGTTCGTTGCAAAAAGGGGGACAGACGTCCTCAAAGTTTTTATTTTATGGCATTTTCTTCGGTGTCCTCTCAAAATATATTTTTACAGGTATTTGACAAATATATTTGAAGAAAATGCCATAAAATAAAAACTTTGAGGACGTCTGACCCCCTTTTTGCAACGAACTAGACGTCTGAAGATTTACATACGTTATCTGTGACCTTCAAACAGATAATGTGCAAAATTTCTATAAATTTTGAGCTTTGAGAAAACAGTTTAGATGCTTCTTAAAATTACAACTTTGCCAGCGTCCCAGAGCCAGCTGTCCCGGAACTGTGAGTGCTGACTGTACACTAGCATTCTAGCACTAAAGTACGACCTATTTTGAAAATATCCGCCTTGCGAAAACTCTTGCATGTTTTTGGCGCCACCTCCTGGACTATAAAACTAGAGACCAAACATGCCATTTAAAAATCGCCCAATGTTTACAATGAATCATATTTTAGTCCATGACATAAGTAAGAAAGAGATACACCTATAAAACGGCAACACTGTTCAGTGGCGGCGTGTTCAGTTTCCCCTGAATTTTTCCCAGAATTCAATAGAAGTTTTACTCACAATAAATTACCATAAACATCCTCTAACTACGCCAATGTCAAGAGTAAAATGATGTCAAATTTTTTACCGCCGAAATATTGAAATGTGCTTGAAATCATCACAAATAATAAAGTTTTTTTTTTTTAAAGATAATTCCCAAGTCAAAAATTTAGTAACTATGTTGGCAACACAAGCCTTTTCTACATAAAAAATTTGACAATTTTTTCATTGTATTGCCAACATAATGTCATTTTGACTTTTATCTTTAAAAAAAAAAACAGATTTTACATCGACGAAATATTTTAACGTTCTCTATTTCACATTTCACAGTTTTAAATCCAGAAATACCAATGATTACCACTCAAAATCACAAAATTAGCTCTATCACTTCCAAGCAACACTTCCAGATGCGTTATGGATGACATAAGTTACATAGGATCATCTGATTGGCTGCTTGTAGAAGCAACGTTGCCGATGTGCCATTTTTCGAGCAATATATACCCGGTGATTCTAGAATTTTCACCATTTTAAATTAAAAAAAGACTAACTATACTATTCAAAAAGGCACTTAGGTTATGTTTCAACAAATATTGATATAGAAAAGCATTTACATTATGTTAAAACATATTTTGAAATAATAATTATCCGTGGAGACATTTAATTTTGAAAATCACATCGGATTATTGGCAACCAGGAATTTTATGCAAAAATCGACCTTATGGATGTTGGATTGCAAATTATTTTGTTGTATCTGTCGTTTTTAGTTGTTGTAGCTGAAATTCCTTTGAATTTTTGGTTTCTCAAGGACTCGAGAGCTCTATGCCCAGAGATGGAACTTCTTGAAAATGTATCTCTTGAGCTAAACAGATCCCCGGTAAAAACAGCTCCCCAGTAAAAATAGCTCTCCGGTTAAACCATAAGTAATAGAGGCATTCCATGAACAACCATTAGGTACTTTGAAAAAATGAATAAAAAAGACTTACCACGAGGGGTTCGGAATTCAAACTCAAATAAAACGGTAATCACGAGACTTTTTATTTAAATTTTTTCGGTTATACAACTCACTGTACATTATTCCCATATGACACGAGAGGCTTAAAAAGTGATAAGCCTTTTGGGATTATCGCGCTTGGTGGCATTTATGGCAAATTCTATTATAGATTTTTTTTTTAAATTTTAAAGTATTGAAGTTTAGTTTGTTGTATAACCTTTT